GCCTGCCCCAGTTCGTCCAGCTCCTCTACCTCGTGGGGGAAGGCCGCAGGGCGCCCGCCGACCTGAGGGGGAAGGTGGAGAGCACCATCCTCAAGCACTTGGACTCCTTCACCCTGGAGGAGCTGGGCGCCGTCTGCCTGGGCTTGTTCAAGTCCCTCAGCGGGATCTCGGAGCGGGTGGCGAGGAGGGTGGCGGAGAGGGTGGCCCTGCAGATGGAGGAGATGAGCACCTACGCCCTGGTGAACGTCCTGAAGATCCTGCGCTACGCCCGCCTGGCCCACCGGCCCCTCCTGAGGGAGCTGGGGAGGGTGATCCCCCCCAGGCTCCCCACCACCAACATCCAGGGCATCATGCACGTCGCCCTCACCTGCTCCTCCCTGCACTACTTCGACGAAGGCGTTCTGGCTGCTGTGGCCAAAGCTCTGCCCTCCAAGGTGACCTACTGCCGCAGCAAGGACGCTGCCAAGTTCCTCTGGTCCTTCGGGTGCCTGGATTACGAGCCCCCCAACGAGGAGGAGTTTTACTCCAGCCTCATAGAGCAGATGCACAGAAAGCTCCACGAGTTCAGAAAGTTCCCAGAGCATCTCCTGACGGGTTTGCTGGGCCTGGCGTTTGTCCGACGCTTCCCAGAGGAGCTGATTGACTATGCTCTGAGGGATGAGTTTGTCCAGAAGATGAGAGGCAGCAAATACGAGCTCAAAAAGGACCTGTTCACCCTGGGGAGGAGCGTGGAAATCGAGTGCCCCGCCTACCGAGGCAGCCGCCTTCCCCCTCACCTCTACCAAGAGTTCACTGAGATGGCTTTGAGGTTTGCAGAGCAAGAAATCTACGTCAGGCCCGAAATCCTGGAGGCCACTTCTCTTCTGGAGAGCATGTTGGGTGGCCCAGAGTACGTGAGGAACCACATGATCCTGCCCCACACCAGGTCCAGCGACCTGGAGGTTCACCTGGCCGGGGATGGGCAGCCCATCCCGTTCAACTTCCAAGCCCCCCTTGCAGATAAGAAGCTGAAAGACCTGGGAGTGAGTCTGACGGATGAGTTGATGGCTCAGCTCCTCAGAGGCAGCTCTGCTGGAGGAGAGGCACACCCAGCGTGGACTCCTGCTGGGGGAGGAGCGGGAGATGGCGCCGCGCTCCCCAGCGGGGCTCTCCCCAGCCCTCCCCTGGGCTCTGAGCTGGGGCACGGCCCCCAAACCCCCTCAGCTGCTGCTCTGGCTCCCCCAGCTGGGGGGGTGAAGCTGGCTCTGCAGGTTTCCAACCGTAACCACCACTGCTACTGCTCCAAGCGGCTGCTGGGGCTGCACAGCCTGAAGCGGCGGCAGCTGCGGCGCCTGGGCTACGTGGTGGTGGAGCTGCCCTTCTGGGAGTGGTTCCCCCTGCTCCGCCGCACCCACCTGGAGAAGCTCAGCTACCTCCACTACAAGGTGTTCGACCCGGCGCTGCTGGGCGGGGCTGGCTAGGCTCAGGGTGGGCTCCTTCTCCTGCTCCCAGGGGCAGCTCTCCTGGGTAGAACGGTCTCCGAGCATCGGGGCGGGGTTGGGGAGGTGCTGTGAGAGCACAGGCCGGGTTGGTTCTGCTCTGCTGAGGGTCCTGTGTCCTGCAGAGATCCTCAAGTGCTTCATGAGAAATAAAAACTCTTCCTTTTCCTCGAAACTCTTTCCATTTTCCTCGGTGATGATGTTTTTCTCCAGCCTGAATGGAAGTGGGCGGGTCTGGGGACTCACAGAGATGGTGGGGAGAGGATTGGGCTGAGGTTTAGTCCCCAAGCCAACCCAGGAGCTCACGGGGTGAGTTCCCCCTGCAGGAGCTGTGCCTGAGCAGGATGGGGTGTGAAAGCTGCCTGGTGAGGTGGGAAGTGGGGCTGAGGGTTGGCTGCTCTGACCCCAAGGTGTTGACTTTGGGCTGAGCTCTCAGCAATGCCTGGCAGAGAGGATTTGCATCCCGTTGGTAACGTCTGCTGGGGAAGGGGGCTGACAAACCCACCTGGGTGTCCATTCCTTACTGCAGCAGCTCCCTGGTCGTGTGTAGGACACTGGGAAGGCACTTGGTGACCAGCTCCAAAAAGCCTGGGTTTAAATCATGAATCATGGA